TGAATTCAAATTACGGAGAAATAACTAATAGAAAATGAATTTTCAATAGAGTCAACAATAAACAATTAAGATCGAGGTCGACAGGACAAACTTTGAGTCATAAATAGAGAAATGTGAACACCTCACTTCTACCTGAAGTTTATGGTGATAATGTTTTTCAGAAGAACGATAAAAGCCCAACGATCAAATCATTCAACGTAGAAAACAAAACTCCATCAAAAACAGTAATTTTATGTCTGTTTAGCTATGAACCATGTATCTGCCTTGTGATTACTACTACTACTAGTAGTAGTAGTAGTACTAATAAAAGAAGAAATACGATGAATACATTAAAGACAATTATTATTTGAAATTAAACAACTGGTTTTTCATTGTCCTTTAATCTATTTGATTGAAAAAAAAGAAACAATTACAATTAAAAGGCAAACATTCTTTTATAGAATTTTTCAATTGAGCATTGTAACATTAGCACAAGTAGGACATTCTTTGACTTGTTGTACACAAAGAATGACCTTTATCTGCACTAAAAAAAGAAAGTTTTATTATCTACCTTTATTTGAAGGATTTCAAAAATGCAACAGGTTTACTTTAAACTTTAAGGAATAAAAATATGATTCATGAACAGTTATCTGGGAAAAGAAAACATATTTCCATCAACTGTGTCTTTTTTGAACATTGAATTTCACGAAACAAAAATTGTTATTAAAAGTAGGTTAATAGACAGTACATGATTATTGTTTTTACAGAAGAAAACGTTTTAGATAGTAGATTGATTTGTAGTTTGTGTACACGTTATCCATCAAACCTATTTGAACAAAACGGTTACCTAGCCATTGCCAGTTTCCTATGCTAAGCTGAAATGAGATTAATCCTTGATGAAAACCGTCTATGATAGAATTTACTGACCTATAATATCATTTTTAGGTTGACAACAACTAGATAATAAGAAAAGGATCTCCGATGAGCTATTTCCTGCCCAGAGATAACAAACATTGAATTATGAACGAATACAGCTGCGCACAAAAACAAACAATGAGTAAATCACTGGTAAACAATTACAATTTCAGAAGATTAGATAAACTAATTTGACTAATACATTCTTTTACGTAATAGATATTTAGATCAAAACAAATTTATGGAATGGGATAAAAGTAATTCTCGAAACCTGGTAAATCTGATATTTGACAGTATGACCAATTTTCAAAGTTGAAATCATGAGTCAATTGAAGCTAGACCACCGTGGAAAACCTGGAAGCACTGGACGGCCATTTAGTAATATTATGGGACTCTTCAGCAGTGCGCATCCACGATCCCGCACTCGCGAAATTCGAACCCAGGACCTACCAGTCTCGCGCCAGAGCACTTAGCCGATAGACCACTGAGCCTACATCCGACGGTGTTTATGTCTAACTTCAACCAATCCATGATTTTGAGCAACCGTTCACCAATTTATATTTATTTATTTATTTATTTAAACACATATATATTGGTACAAAAGGGCACCAGGTACATATGCGCCACACAAAATAATGAAAGTAGGAAGAGAAGGGATGAAAAGATAAGGCGGACTAAAATGTACAACCAGAAGACTCTTTCAAATAGGAAAGTAAGAACCATACTTTATGTAGAAAGTAAAAGAAGGTTGCAGCAGGATCGCCACTGGTTTCTATTCTGAGCCATATCTGATAACGTCTCTAGCCACTGTGTTGCACCATCTCTCGGACCCCAACCAAGGAGTCGTGAAGGACCAACAGAAGCTAGCCCTTTGAGAAGAACTGTTAACTGATGGTAAAACTCATCCTTGATTGCATCCGAGCTGCAATCTGTCGGGGCATAGGCGGAGATGACGAAAAGACACCGTTTCTCACGCCGGTTTCTTCTCAATTTGATGGAACTTTCTAATCTAACAGCACATAACTGACTGTTAATGGGGAACCAATCGATTAGTGCTGCCTCAGCCCTAGCGCTTAGTGCGACACTAACGCCAGCAAGACCAGACGAAGATGCCACAGGGTCCCCGGATAAGCGCACGTGGAACAAGCTTTTCGAGGCGACAGATGGAGAGCGGATTTGTAGTACTTCACTAGAGTCTTGAATACGGGTCTCGGATAGACAACAAACATCAACATTAAGACCTTCCAAAGACATAGCCAGCCCTATCTGTTGTCTGATATGCATTAGTGTGCGAACGTTGAAGGAAGCCAGCTTGATCGGTGTACGTGGTTTCAGAAAGACTGCTTCAGTATTCATAATCGGTGGAAGCATTCACTTTCAACCAGACAGTGACTGGAGATCGTTTAGATAGGACAGATTTTCCACCATTGGTGAGCTGCTGCATAAGTTGAAAAGTAAGGTTACACAAATTGGGGATAAAAGGGGGTGAATTAGCGATATGGTAAGTAATAATAATAATAGTAATAATAATAATAATAATAATTTAAATTGTCTTGCTTCTAGTATGAGCAGGGATAGTATCGTCAATAGAATTCATCATTTCATTTATTTGTGTGTGGGCTGTGATACTGCCCGGGTGCCCAAACCGAAGCAGGTGGTTTTCTTAGGGGGCCACACCCCAAGCCTTTGACCTGAATGTCTGATCCACAAGGCAGTGGAGCATCGTGAGGAGATGCAGTCCCATGGTGGCCGGTGACCAATGACAGGTTCGTCCGCCATTCGTTCCATCAGGATACTGGAGCCCATGTGCACCATTGGTTTGGAATCAGGGTTTTCCAACTCCCCTAGGTGGACCCTCCGTGTCCACCAATCCGGTTATAGCACCGGACATTCGCTTTTCGTCCTCTCACTTTTGTGAACAACACCCCCTCCACGAGAAGGCAGTGAGTAAGACTTCCCTGGCAGAGGCTATATATTCGCTGGCCATGTGAGAGCATTTCGAGAGGGAGAGTAGACTCTCCCCACTCTTGGCCGTACCAGGGCATTTGGGGGCGTTCACCAATTGTCTTCAGTGAGTTAGTATCTCTACAACAGACTTGGTAGAACTCCACTGGTCCCTGCATGATTTCAACTTTGAAAATATTAAATTCTCCACAAAACCCGTTCTGATCAATATGATTAATGTAAATTCTTAATTTTTATGCAACAAATTTGAATTCCAAGCAGATTTATCAAAACCTTGATGCAACCGAATTAAATACCATTACCGTTAACTAGAAGACACAACAGATGCGTTATAGAATAGTTGGATTACTGACTAGAAGGTAATCAATATCATACTTCTCTAGTCCTGCTTAGCACTAATCAAATTCTATAGATCAGTAGTAATTCGGTGGCCAAACTAGTCTAAATGATTTGATATTGTATACACTTAATTAATTGATTGAAGTTTACTTCTGTTGGATTGATTTAGTTATCCAATATATTATAAAGATGCATTAATTTGAAATGAAATCCTAAGATAGTGTGTAAAAAGTGCTGATTAATGGTATATTTATTAACATGATGATACGTAATGGTCAAATATGGGCTATATAAGATTTTTTAGTAAGAACGAAACATAATATGTTACCGGTACTTGATATCACTTTAATGCAAAGTCATATTGGAAAATCAAAGAACACTAGAGTGAACAGTTACTTTCAATAACTTTATCATCAATCTCCAAGATTACAAGCTTATAATTATTGTATTATAAAGGCCGAAATAAGTCATGCTAGTCATCGTATTTGCAAAACAGCACTGTTTGATTTGATATTTCAAGATTAAAGGAAATTAAAGGAGGTAAATTCTAAAAGAAAAACATGAATTTCATGAGATGAGCAACATTCATAAGAAAAAGGTTTATCATCAAGAGAGTAGATATAGATGTCATCTTACATAGAGGATTGAAACTAATTATATTCCATAAGAAATAATAATGAAAATCGGTGAATTACTAAGATTAAAACTGTAAACTGCTGAGATAAAGTAGAATATTTCAAAAAAGCTATAAAGACTAGTCTTACATGAATGAATTGGATAGTATCAATTAATAATCCTTTAAAAATCTAAGGGTAATAAAAAGTGTACACTGAAACATTTAAACTTCTAATTAACAAGGATATATCATTTTTTGAAGTTTCACCTGTTCCTATATCTATATACGAGTGGGTTAAAAATATACAATAGAGTATCAGATGTTCAAAAGTAAATGAATTAATTTAACAGATGTGAAGATAACAATAATAACGGAAAAATTGCATTACACTGGGAAATGATGTACATTTAATATAATCAGACAGAAAATATTTGATATTTAAGATTGAATATAAAAAACTCTATTTTCTTTCACAAAACTAAGAAAAATGAAACAAATTGATTTTCTTTGAAATAATTTTCATCAGCTAGATGATCTGATATGTTGATTAAAAAGAAAAGAGTTCAATGTAATAATTTGAAATGATGTATCAAATAGTGACCAATACCTATTTTTCACAATTGATTGATCACTGGGTGGTGATCAATGTCATGTGTGTCAAGTCCTTCTTAGTGCTGATCGAATGCTATCGATCAAGTTGCAATGTGGCCACTAGTCTAGGTGGCTCGACACTGCGTGCACTGAGAGCACCAATTCCCTCAAGATTACAGGTACACCTTGCTGACGAGTGCCAAGTGGCACGAAACCTGGGTCCAGGGTTTCCTGTTGACCACCTACAACCACCATCTTATTTCAATACCTATTTTTATATAGTATAGAATAACCAAAGATTGGTGAAGCATTATGAGGTTATAAGACGAAATTGAAAATGACTATAAGAGACTCATTAAAACTCATTCAACCAACACCACGTTATGAAGTACAAATGCTGCCACTGTATTGCTAATACTCACCTTTACATCTGCATCAGATCCTCCTTGTTTATCAATGATGCTCTCCAGGTATGTGAAACGTTTCATCCCTTCCAGAGATCCTCGATCAAGGGTGATTGGGTTTATGTTCTCCGTGTTGTATTTTACAATCTTGCTTTTTCCCATGTAGATGTTGAGGCATACTAATACAGACGCTGCTGCTACACTGGTTGTCTTCAATTGCATTTGTTGATGTGTAATGGCATAGATCATCTGAGAAGTTCAAATCGTGTAATGGCATAGATCGTCTGAGAAGTTCAAATTGTCTAACGGCATCCAAGCTATCCGTTGTATTCTATGCTTCCATTGAGATGTGAAGGTGGTCACAACCTAGTCAATCACCAGAAGAAGGAAGAAGGGAGAAAGTAAGCAGCCCTGTCTGACACCAATCCTCACTTAGAATGCATCTATCGGCTGTCCTACATGCACGAATTTGCAGTGTAGTCCGCCGTGTGAATTCCGTATGATGTTAATGACTTTCTGAGGTACACCATAGTGTCGAAGAAGGTCCTCCTATCCATACTGCTTCTTTGATTCCTTTCCAGTTGTTCTCTGTAGTACTTTCCTCTTCTTTGAGTAGATCTTGTGGGACTTAGAACCTGTTGCTGAGAACTACCTTGAATTTATTGAAGTTGTCAATATGAATTGGGAACGCGGGGCAGAATCCCTACAGTTGAAAAGCATCTGCAACTAGAAAGCAATTTCAAGTAACACCAGTCAGGATCTTCAATATTAATGTTGAAACAGTTTTATTGTAGTGCTGAAACTTGGGGAACTACAAAAACCATCATTAAAAAAGTAAAAATATTTATTATCTACGTAACATACTCCAAACTCATTCGCTACAGACAACCAGAAATAATCTACTCTAATAAAGAATGAATCGGTTGCTAGTTATAGAGGAAAATATGCTGAAAAAGAATAAGACATTGCGGAAATCATCAAACTGTATCACAAAGCAAGCCCTGACTTGGGATCCTCTAGGTAGAAATGAAAAGAGGCAGATTGAGGAACATATAGCAACTCAACAGGAGAGAAGAAGACAGATTTAGTGAGAAGCCTCTGGTAGGTAGCCTATGCCCCAAGAAGGGTAACGGGTTTTCATAAGTAAATAAATATAACAAAATTTATTTCACGATACGGAAACTTAATAAAAACACGTGAAGGTGATTATATTCAGCTTTTTTCTCGAACTCCATATATACCATATGATCATTTGATAGTTCAAAATTGGGATAGACGCATCGTATCAATGCGATTAGTAAAGCCATATATACAATAATCTAATTGAAAAGTTAAAAGTACTTTAAACTACAAAATGTTGAAAAATACAAAAGTATAACTTAACAATGAGTAAAGTAATTAGTCTATAATGTCATTATTAGGTAAAAACAGTAAGTATTATGTCCATAATCCTTCGATGTTACTTGAAAAAGCATTTTATTGACCACAGATGAATGTCTGTATATACTTGACTATCTATTACGAAAGAATCAATCTGATAGTACGATATTATGGGTTAACTTATCCAACTCTATTATCGTAGAACAACGAAAGGAATAATACAATAATGATCAAAATGATAACAGTAACAATAATATGACAAGGGAAAAGGAATAAAGATGAAGATATAGAGTGAATGGATTCACACTACTGGAAATTTGGTCTAAAATCATATTTTACTTGTAGTCCCTAATTATTGAAGTTGTTCAGGGAAGATATACAAAAAAGAATTGATTAGTACTTCAGAAAAAATTACAATTACATGAAATACGATCATGATTAGAAATTAAAAGCCGCTTTAAAACAAAAAAAAAGATTTAACTACAAACGAGAACAAAATGGATCCAGGTTTGATAATGATTTTTGCTATGGATGTATCGCCATATATAATGATGCATTGTTAACGTAGTATATAAAATTAATCAAGCTATACAAAAGCCAGAATACTGATTATGTACAGATATCTTGGTGGGAGGCCTATGCTACTTCATGAGGGGTGACAGGCGTAAGTAAATAAGTAATACGTACTAAGTAATCAGTTCTTTTGTTTATATATTCATGAGACAATAAAATAATATGATCTACCGGATATACATTATCTAAAATTATGTTAGCCCCAACAGTTGTAAAATTACATACTACTGAAATATTAATAATTAAATCATCAGTTGAAAAAAATTAAAAATGCAAGGATTTGAAAATAGAAATCAACGAATCATGATTTATTAAGCATTATTAAGCCTTAGTCGACAAACCATCTTCTTGTAATTGACTAGGAATTCGTAACTCGAATTCAAGAGTAGAACAATATCTTTACTGTCTTTATATATTGGGATTAACTGGTTGACTAAAGTGGTTAAACGATATTGAAAATATATAAGTGGTTAGCTTATGAGATGGCGACATGGTATGGAAGAAAGCTGTAAAAGATTGGTATCTATCGGACCTTCACAACCCCTTGGTTGGGGTCCTAGTGATAGCGTGACACAGTGACTTAAAATACTTACTGTACATGTCTCAAAATAAAGACTAGTGGCGGTCCTGCTGTAACTTTTATAATTACATTCCTTTCACAATCTCCTTTCCTTATTGTTTGATGCATATTTGTTTTCGTTCTCTTTTGTACTAATACTTACGAGCTTGAATAATGATAATAATAATAAGAAATGAAATTTTCGACCCGCTTTTGAAGAGTGCTGAACTATGGAGCAAAACAGTCATATACTGCTTTTTTCTGTTCCCGAGGTGTTTTCCGGTCCATGATGGGAACGATTTTTAAAATGGACTGAGCAAAAGCCGCTCTATTTGAGTTTGAATAGTAAGGGTAAGTAGATCCATATAAGCCAACTGTTACATAAAATGCAGAAATGAGAGCCAAGTTGATTATTATGTACTTAGTTACTAAATTAACTTATAAAAGTGTCATATCTATACCTTAATTGTCTGAATTTTATTATCACAAGAGGGTTTTTGTGGAGATTTAGTAATTTTATAGTTAAGATCATGAGTCAATTGAAGCTAGACCACCGTGGAAAACCTGGAAGCACTGGACGATCGTTTCGTCCTATTATGGGACTCCTCAGCAGTGCGCATCCACGAACCCGCACTCGCGAGATTCGAACCCAGTACCTATCAGTTTCGAGCCAGAGCCCTTAACCAATAGACCAATGAGTCGGCATCCAACGGTGTTAATGTCTAACCTCAACCAATCCACGAAATTGCCCAACCAACTTCGAATGTACGGAGGTAGATACCTGTCTCTACCTGACATGGATTAGCTCCACTGGCCACGACTTCTCACTAGAACATTGTCAATTTATTCACTAAATTGTTTTATTTAGATAATACATCCATTTATTGAAAACAAACAACAAGAAGCCTTTTTTACTATTTTTGTATAATATCTAATTAGTAAGGTAGAATGTAATAGGTTGTATTTATCAATCATATTGTAATTGTAAAAAGTAAATATACCTGAATTATATACACTATGAAATTTAGAATTTATATTTAACTTTAAATATGAGCCGTAAAATTAATTGCAAGCATGAAAAATAATATGTTCTCTTCGTTAGTAGATCAGTTTGAAGGTAGAAAGTGTTTATTTAGCAACACTAATGCATTCCGTTATGGAACTAAATGTAGCGTGTGAAAATCTACGTGTAAAATCCCACATACCAGTAGATACTTTAAGCTAATACATAAAGTACATAAAAATTTGGTTTTTCATAAGAAGAATAAAAATGAGATAGTATTCGTGTCCGTGCATCTCCCTTTCAATGTTCAATATATGAGCAGTATCTAACATTTACTCGTTTATTCCATGAGTGAATACTGCTTATAAGAACATAATTTTCACTGACGAATTCATTTCAAGATTTAGCTTTCATTCGCTCTGCTTTTTACATCCTCCATGTTAAGATTCCTTACAGTAGCGTGTTCACAGAGGGAATGTTTAGATCGCTATAAATGATTAAAATGAAGTCCCCAGTAAAAATCACACTCTTATATGAAAGACTACCATAGTTAATGAACGGAAAAATGCTACATATCACATGTTTATTGAACAGTGTAAAAAAGGATGTTTATCCTCACACACACACACACACAAAATTTCACTTTTATGAGTTGTGTTGAATTAATATCATAGTTAACAAGTTATTAAGTTTAACATAATGGGCAATAGTGTTACCATTTCAAATGGTCAATGGTCAAATCTCCACAAAACCCCTTCTGATAAATATACATCTAGCTTCAATTGACTAATTATTTCAACTATGAAACATATTAAATCTTCACAAAAACCCTTCTGATAATTAATATAATCATATGTTCATTAGTGACATCGGGAAGTACATCCATGAGCTCTGTTGAGAAGCAGTGACCAGTGGAGTGCAAACCACGTCTGTCGTGAGATAGGAACTCACTGATGAAAATTGGTGAATGGTTGCTCAACTTCGTGGATCAGTTGAAGTTAGACATTAACACCATTGGATGCCAGCTCAGTGGCCTATCAGTTAATGGCTCTGGCTCGAAACTGATAGGTCTTGGGTTCGAATCCCGCTAGCGCGGGTTCGTGGATGCGCGCTGCTGAGGAGTCCCATAATAGGACGAAACGGCCGTCCAGTGTTTCCAGGTTTTCCATGGTGATCTAGCTTCAATTGACTCATACTTTCAACTATGAAATATACATCTATAACTAGAAAATTCTGACCGATTAACGTCTGAATAAAAATATATATCACCCACACTAAACCTGTAAAATTAAGGAAATCATGACCTTGGATAAAAAAACAAATAACATAGATAGAAAATTGACCTTTTAATGTTACTTTGATTAATTTAATTAGCAGTCATTATGTATTGAATGCTGATACTAAGAAATTTAGGATAAAATGCATTAAACAAGATTTGTGTTAGCAGTTAAAACATAAATAGGTCAATGATTTCTTAATGGTTAAAATAGAAAGGTCTGAAACTGATCGAAAGTAAAAAGTGTATAAATCGAGGTTAAAGATAAAAAAAATCTCATAAAAAATGATCAGTGATCATGATTAGTTATAGGCATGGTCTCTGATAAATACTTAAGTTTTTGGACAGTAGAAACTTTAACATTTGTTTTGGTGACATTGCATTATCGAGACTGGAAAGTTTAGTTATCTTTGTTTACAAGATTATCACTGTAAACTCTGAGAAGTAAATCAATTCAAATTTTTCGCGAGTGAGTAGAGGTGAACTCGTGTCCGCACGAACCAATATAAACGAAGATATATCATGATATCTAGAAATAAATTGTTTACTATCCAAATCATCCAGTTCAGAGGATCTAATATCACTGAAATACTCTTGCTGAGTTACAAAGTTACTTTACCATCTTGAGTAGATCATTTTTTGGGCACATGTTCATGGACTCGACATTGATGCACATAGGTTGTGTCGGGCCACGTGATACCATATGACTGTTCAAATTGAAGTAGGCAGAATGGGTTTCAAACTTCCATGGTTGTAAAAGTAACTACTTAAAAATCGCAGTTAATGTAGAACAGACCTTAAAATTTCTTAAGCATGAAACTTTGGAGCAATAGATTAACATTCAAAAGTTACTTAAAGCATACTTTAATTGATTGTAGTATTTTTTAACCTAATGAGTTATGAAATCCTTAGTTTGAATTAAGGAAAATGAACAT